CTCCGAAACACCCTGGCTCCCTTTGGGCATCCGAAGTCTCCATTCTCCCACACTGCATCTCTTTGGAGGACCTTCTGACTTGCCCTGCCGCCCCCAATCTCCAGCTCTGCCCAGAACCTTCCAAAATCAGAACAGTGTCCCCCATTTTTTGACTCCAATCTCCCTTCTCCTGGTGCCCAGAAACAGCAGCTGCTGGAGTTTCCTCATGATCTCGAGGTGGAAGACTTGGAGGACGACATTCCCAGGAGGAAGAACAGGGCCAAAGGAAAGGTATCTCCCCACCACGCCTCCCCTCAACGCAGACCCCATTCGCTGTGTCCATCCTTCCCCAGTGTGAGCTCATTTAATCCTCAGAACAGCTTGAAGGGTGGGGAGATCTTATACCCATTTCACAGATGAGGAGACTGAGGCTCAGCTATTTGAAACCACCTGCAAACCAGAGTTTGTATGGGGGGAGGCGGTTAGAACTACCTCTGGTCAGAGAGAACCGAACCTCGTGAGGTTAGGGGGGTCACTCAAGGCCCGCAGCCAAGAAGCTGCGGAGCTGTGGTTTGGCTTTCAGGCCCCGATGATGGACACTCGCTTTCCTCTGTTTCTTGGCCCCTCCCTCCTGACTCTTCCCCCAGGCATATGGCATTGGGGGTCTCCGAAAACGCCAGGACACCGCTTCCCTGGAGGACAGAGACAAGCCGTATGTCTGTGATAGTGAGTCCTTCTGAAGAGGGGGAAAGAGAGAGAGTGGGGCCCACAGACCTGTCCTCTCCTGCCACGCCCCCACCCCCATCCCGGTACTTGACCCTGGTCGGGGGATACGCAGGCCTCTGGCAGAGGGAGAGGGAGGTGTGATCTCGGAGGCCAGGGTAGAGTTGGCGTGGGCTGGGAGGGCTGACCAGCCGTCCCTGCTCGCTCTGCTCTCCAGTCTGTGGGAAACGGTATAAGAACCGGCCGGGGCTCAGCTACCACTACACCCACACCCACCTGGCTGAGGAGGAGGGAGAGGAGAACACGGAGCGCCACGCCTTGCCCTTCCACAGGAAAAACAACCATAAACGTGAGCAGGCGGGCGGGCTGCAAGGTGGTGAGGGGCCCTGGGAGGAAGGGGGCACGTTAGACATTTCTGGAAAATCTCCAGCTCAGTGGGCCCCTCCCCCCACCGACCATGGGGATGCTGGCTCTGGGGTTGCCATGGCAACCAACCATCTCTCTCTCTCTCTCTCTCTCTCTCTCTCTCTCTCTCTCTCTCGCTCGGGGCTGGGCGTAATATTTCTGGGTCTGATTTATTGTTTCAATTAGAGCTTGGGGATGGGGGTGATAGATGACTCTCCTCCCTCCCGACCTCCCTTTCTCCCTTCCCTGCTAAGCTTTGGCCAAGGGGCAGGGTCTGTGGCCTGGGAGCCCTTGGCATCTGCCCATGCCAATCCCATGCCAACTCCAACAGCTGAGGGATGGGGGAGGGCTTGGAGGGAGCCTCTGCTCGTGGAGAAATCGTCTTCCCACCCATCCCTCGGCGGGAGAGGACAGACTCTTTATCCTAGTTACGATGCACACCCAGGCACTTGTGTGTTCAGAAATTTTCTTCTGAATGTCTGTTTCCACACCAGATCTTGGCCAGTCATATCTAGCAGTTGGGGCTCAGTTGGGGGTGGCTGTCCGGTAGAAGTGTGTATGAGCAGGAAAGTGGGGGACTCTTTCTAAAGCTGCATTTGCCAAGTTTTTACCTAATAAAGAGGACATGTCATTTGTTCTCAAAGGGATGGGAGGTCCTGATGAGAATTATTTGCCCCCCACCAATTCTCTTTTGCGACTGGTCTCAGTTCAGGGGAGCTGCTCTCGCAGCTCCCCCAAGCCGGAACCGAGGGATCCACCCCTGGGGCTGAGGCTGGGAGCAGGGTGGAGACTTGCCTATGGTGAGAGCCCCTCTCTCTGTCCCTCCACCCCCAGAGTTTTACAAAGAATTGGCCTGGGTCCCCGAGGCACAGAGGAAACACACAGGTAGGGACGCCTCCCTCTGCCCCTCCTTCTGCAGCAGCCTTTGCCTGGGTGCTTCCGCCAGCCCACGCCAAAGCCCTGCCTGCTGTCTTTTAGCCAAGAAGGCCCCTGACGGCACTGTCATCCCTAATGGCTACTGTGACTTCTGCCTGGGTGGCTCCAAGAAGACAGGGTGTCCCGAGGACCTCATTTCATGTGCCGACTGTGGGCGATCAGGTGACACCCCCAGCTGAAGTTTCTGAGGGTTGGGGTGGAAAGGACTCTAGGGTCCAAATCTGGAGGATGGGAGGCGGGAGAGCAAGGACTGGGGTGACCCAGCGTGTCCCAGGGGCACTGAGAACCAGAAGTGGGGGTGGGGGGCTGACTCAATTGCTGAGGATTATGCGAAACTGATTATGGGGTCAGGGAGGCTCTGGGAATAACGGGATGTGGTTGTCTCGGCGTTTCGGGTAGTGACATGTGCTTATCACAGTGGGGGTAAGTGAATGCTGGTTGCCAGGGCGTTGTGGGTAGTGGGCTGTGATGGTGAGTAATAATGGGTTGCCACTGCCTGGGTACTATGGATAACAGAGGGCGCCTGCCATGGAGTTGCGGTTAGTAGATGTGGTTTCCCATGGTGGAATTGTGGGTAATGGACTGTGGTTGCCTCAGCCCAAGGGGTAATGAATTGTGGTTGTCATGGTATCACGGGTAGTGTAATATGGTTGTCATGGCAACTGTGTGTAGAGGAATGCAGTTGTGGCACTGGCGGAGTGGGATGACCGGCAGAGTGGCATTGTGCAGTATTGCTCTGAACAGTTTGGTGGCTGGGGCATCCTGTGTAATGGGCTTGGGTTGCAGGGAACCAGGGTGTGGAGACCCCGCTGTGGATGGTGGTTGCCATGGCATCATGGCTGGGAGAATGTGGTTGCCACGTTATGTGGTTACCTCCGCACAGTGTTAACAGAATGTGGTTGCCCGGTGTTGTGGGTGGTAGAAAGTGGTTGCCACAGCACTGTGGGTAATAGAATGCGGTTGCCATGGTGTTCTGAGGAGCAGAGTGTGGTTGCCATGGTGGCTGGGTGGGAGACTGGTGGCCACGGCAGCACTGCTTGCCGCTTGGTCCCTGGGCGCCGTGGCGTGGTCGGGGGAGGCTGTGGGCCACAGAAGCCCATTGGCCTTAGGAGCCAGGGCTGAGGGCTGAGCCATTTGTTGCCCCGGGGTCGGCAGTCACCAGGGGCCTGATGACCCCTAACCACATCCCTGCCCCTCGGCCCCCAGGACACCCCTCGTGTTTACAGTTCACGGTGAACATGACTGCAGCCGTGCGGACCTACCGCTGGCAGTGCATCGAGTGCAAATCCTGCAGCCTCTGTGGGACCTCGGAGAACGACGTGAGTGCGCCCCACCTGCCTGCCCTGGGCGCGTCCCCAGGCGGCCTCCCCACTTGGCACCTCTGCCTTTGCCAGTTGGGCCTAAAGCCTTTCCCCGGAGCCCCTGGTGACCACTGGTAACCTGGATTATTGTTATTGTTAGTGGCCATTCATTGAGCCCGGCACTTAATCTTCATCTCTCTGACTCCTCCCAACCACCCTCTGAGGTAGGTGCTCCTGTTCCCACGGCACAGAGAGGGGAAATGACTTGCCCAAGGTCAGCCAGCTTTGGCAATGGTACAGCGGGGACCTGAACCCATGTCCATTGCTTCCAGAGCTGGCATCAGACCATCTCAGCGTCATTTTAAGTGTTCCACAAAATCTTATAAAACCCAGACCACAAATGGACGGGCCTCAGGGATATTTTGCTTGGCCGAGGAGGGTTTCGCAAAGATCCCGTGGTGCAGAGACCTCTGGGAGCCCTTCTTGTGGAAGGGCCCGTCACCCCCAGCCCCTTTGACTGGCCCCTGCCCCAGCCCCCCACCCCGGTTTCTGGTGCCCATGCCCCCAGGGTGCCAGCTGGGCGGGTCTCACCCCCCAGGACCAGCTGCTGTTTTGCGATGACTGCGACCGGGGTTACCACATGTACTGCCTGAGCCCCCCCATGGCGGAGCCCCCAGAAGGTGAGAGAAGAGGTGGGCATGACATGGGGGTCGGGGGCTGGAAAGCCGTCT